ATTACTGATATTATAGATAACATCATAAAATTTCATATTTTTTGCCCGTTACGTACAAACGTAATTCTTCTGTATTTAAAATAGTAAACTTATAAAATGGCGAATCATGGCACAGGCCCAAGAAGCGCGCGCCAGAGGTTTCCGAAAGTTAGCAGCTTCTTTTTGAAGGCCTCAAAAGTAGTGTGGGCCTCCGAGTGCTCGAACTGCCACCTAGTATATAAAAGAATTACAATACTTACGTTCGTTCCAATCTGTTAGAGAAGCAACTTTACTGTTACGTTTACTCTTAACTACTAATTGATTAAAAGTTTTCTTATTTTCTCCTATTTCTTGTTCGCTTCTTTTCCTTTCTTGCACTGTTTTACTCTTTGAATTTTCATTAAAACCTTTCGAGTTTTTATCCAGATCTTTTGTTTTATTTGATGACGATTCGGAATTTCCAGCTTGGTTAATTGAGTGGCATTTCACTAAGAGAACTGAATTGATTTCTGCAAAAAACAATAATAAATTATTTTTTAAAATACTTTAAAGTAACTGATAAGATAGAAAGTTTAAAATTATTTAAATTCGAAAATTTAATTTAAAATAATTTAAGTACGCTTTACGTGTATTCGGTTAGCACAAAGTACAAAAATACATTCTGATACGTATCACTGCGTGTTAAATAACAGAGACAGAATCAATTTAAATTATAACAAATTAAGGATCTTCCACCTCGATATAACGTTTAATATTATATACGTTATTTTAAGACTTTAATTATAATCTAAATTACTCATTTTAGCTAAGTAAATATTAGTTTTAATTAGCTTACGCCCTGATACCGCCATATTTCGTATCCTGCAGCGTTATCTCTCGAAAGAGTTGATATTGAATTGATTAATTCGATTGTTTATATAAACGATAAAAATATCGAATGAAAACATCTGGAATAATTTTATTATATTGCTTAATTTTATAAATTCGGCCTTCAAAATAATTAAATAATATTATTTAAATATTCCTCTCTAAAAATCGTTTCTTCAACACTAAAAACTTACGAAAGAACAATGAAAGATTATCATAATTGCATTGTTATTATTATCTAAATTATGATAATCTCTGATTTTATTATAATTAATTCTAAAAATAATGTTTGCCATATTTAAAATTCGGTTAGATTTAATTAATGTATTTAAAAGTATAATTCTCTGAAAACAAATATAATTTAATTAATTAACACGTGAGTGGATTTAATTGTAAATTTTTATCCAGAAAATATACAATTTTTAAACTTATTAATTTAATTATATAATAATTTTTCATGATACGTAGTTTTTATATCAGATTTATTTTATATCAACAACATGATACGGAATTATTTTTAATGTCACGAGTATAACATTCAAAATTACATCACAATTTCAGTATAAGTAGTAGTTACGACTGATTCTTTCTAACTTTGTAATCTGTCTGTTTGTCTGTCCTAAATTCAATTTATATATATATATAGTAACTTGTGTTTTTTGTTTATCTTTTGTCAGATATGTGATTGTATGAAAAGATAAATTCGTATATCAGAAATATAAATGGTAATTTTTATTAATACGTCATTTTTGGAGAGTTTTATGTTTTCAGATTTCTATAAAATTACTAATACAAATTAATCATAAAATGGGATTCATTTAATTATTTTTAAAATATTACCCTCCCCCTCTCTTCAACATATAAAGATCTTTCAATCTAATTATTAATAATAAAAAAACTATTTATTATTTTATTACTGTATTAATAATAACTGTTTTATTAACATAAACATATTGAAAAAGGTTGGTTAACTAAATTGGTTTATTCCATCGAAATTTATAAAAGAAAAAACATCAAGAAACGTTAATAGTGGAAATGGGTATGATTTTTACAAGTAAAAGAATTATCCACTCACTTAATTACTCCGAAACCAATGGTTCCATTTTTCTGAAAATTTCTAGAAATATTTTCCCTTAATACATAAACTACCTTGCAAAATTTCAGAAACTTCCTACAAAAGGCACAGAAGTTATTAAGCTTGAAAGTGAGTAAAAAATCAGGCCCCACACACAAACATCAGACAGAACAACTCCTAACTTATTTTTTCATTTCTTGTCGTTTCGAGGTCCCCGAGGATCCAAAAATGTAAAAAAATTACGGGGTCATTTTTTTACTCATGGCCACACTTTCCTTCTGTTATGTAACAGACGAAAGAGTAAAAATGTAAACTATTTACAGTATACTGCATATTTTATTCTCATCCCGAGAATGAAAATATTTGAGAAGCACTTTTCTAAGCATCTTACACGAATGACGTTATTTAAATAAGCTTCATTATACAGTGGTGCTTCATACTTCGAACTTAATTCATTCCTGGAGAGTTATTCGAACTCTGAAGCGTTCGAAGTACGAGGTAGCACTGTATTTTCAATTCTCATTCCATAAGTGCAAGCCGGATATTTCCACGATAAACTTACTGATAACAAATATCTTACTGAGAATAGATAAAAAATACTATGCATACAACACGAAATATTAAAAATAAGTTTATATAATTAAATGCAACAGTTTTATACAGTATAGTCTTTGTACAGTCTAGTATAGTCTATACCAAAACGATTTCAAATTAATGTTTCATTATACTGTACATTTTTTTTAAAGTAAATTTATAGGATTATAAATAAATTAACAAATATTTGATTGTTTTATCAGTCTAAAATTTTAAAATGAGAAATTAATTGATATTTTTAGCCTATGATAAGATTTATGTATAATCTATACAAGTTTAAGGCCTACCAGTGGCCGAGTGGTTAATTCTTATACAGTAGAATATATTCGTGTAAACATGATCAGTTTACCGGTAAAAAATTTCATACAATTTGAAATTGCATGAAATTTGAATTTCGTATAGAAAAACAGAAGTTTCCGAATATAATTTAGTTTTAGTAATTGAAAATTCAAAGGAACGTTAAAAGTATTTCTATGTGAAACTGAGAAAGAAACTCGACAAAATAAATAATTTTTTTAAATATTTTTTTTTTTTTGCAATTACTTGCAGTAAAATAATTTGTTTCTTTTACATTTTAGAAATAATAATTTCACAGAAATGCAGTTTTAAGAACAATCATGATTCAGGTTTATAAAATTTATCTTAAATAATAAAAACTAATTTAAATTTATGCCACGTAGTAAAAGTTCTGTTAAATCCATTAAAAAATTTACTATTAAATAAATTTATTTGCATTAAACGCGTTTAAATGAAATTATGACATTAATGGTTTTTATTTTCATTTCAAAATACATTTTAAAACATTTTATATAAAGTAATTTTACTGATTTATATAATTTCAATACTGTATAAGTATGTCTTTTTTTTTTTTTTGGTCGATAATATAATTTTAATTTATGCAAAGTTGGGTCGCCTTAACTTCTATGTACAGTACAATGCATAATGTACTGTACGGTGTCCTCTTTTCTATAGCCTACGGACACCGTTGATGGGTACACATTACACATCTTAGCTAATTAATGCACAATTATTTTTTAATTATAATAACGAAAGAAAATAAATGAATAAAAGTTTTATTCGCTTTATAAGTACAAAATATTAATATATATGTTACAGTCAAAACCCGTTTTTAGTTAGAACGCGTTTTAACTAGTTGAAACTAGTTTATACTGAATGTCTTTGTTATAACCCGTTTTGTCTAGTTGAAACTAGTTTATACTGGATGTATTTGTTAAAACCCGTTTTAACTCAATGAATTTCAGTCAAAACTAGTTTTAACTCAAATTCATTTTTGACTACAGTAAATTTTAGTTTTAACTAGACAAAACGAGTTTTGTCTAGTTAATTTGCTGCTGTACATGTTTTGATTTTAGATAAAACTAGTTTTAACTTTTAACATTAGTTAAAACTAATTTTAGCTACATAAATATGTTTGGGGGAAATAAATAAAGTTATGTATAGTGATTCGGCGGAAGATGCCTAACATTTTGCTTATGAAGGAAATTACAGCGCTAATTTGGGTTTAGGAGCCCTCTAATGAAAATATCATATTCTGGAGTATGTTTTTCAAATAAAACTTTGGAGTTTATTTTAAAAAATTGTATACTGTGTTTGCAATGACGACTTTTTCACTGTCTGGCATTTTAGGCATCTCACCCCAAGTATCCGGGTGAGATGCCAAATGCCATTAGGATAAGATAACAAATATAATTGCATAAAATTAATTTTTGAATTTCTTAACCAAATTTAATTTATTGCATATGTAGTACAAAGTACTTCATAGTAAGTATAACAGCACAGTATAAGTATTGTTAAGTTTCCGCCCGTTCTAACGTGTTCTATAGCTAGCTGAAAGCTTTTTTCAGTCCAAAAACTTTTTTGAGAAGTCCTTATATAATTTCTATGCATATCCTGCAATAAAACGAGAAAACAAAAGTTTATTAAAAATAGGCATATTGGAAATCAATTAACAAAAAATAGGCACGTTACCCCAAGAAAAATGTGGCATATTTTCCATTTGTTGGGGTAAGATGCCTAGTAGAGTCACGTGCTCCAGCATGTCCGATCGGGATCGGCGGTAGCTGACAATGGAAACTTTAGAACCTTAACTACATCACACATTAATTGTTTTTAGCAATTTTTAATAAATTCCATTTTAACTTTTAGTTTAAAATAATTCTAGAAACATTTCACAACAAAAACTTCGTTCTTATCTAGCTTTTATTCTTCTCGGATGTAGAAAATGAAGTAACGGTAGCCAACTACAGCTTTCCACACTCAATATTAGCCCAACGATCCATCATACAAATACATGACAATATGTGACGTCACCGTTTAAAAATATAAAAAACTATGCATCTTTCCCCGCTTAAGATGGTAATCTTACCCCGAATCACTCTATATGTTGCAGTCAAAACCAGTTTTTAGTTAGAATGCGTTTTAACCAGTTGAAACTAGTTTATACTGGATGTCTTTGATAAAATTCGTTTTGTCTAGTTAAAACTAGAATTTACTGTAGTCAAAAATGAATTTGAGTTTAAACTAGTTTTAACTGAAATTCATTGAGTTAAAACGGGTTTTAACAAAGACATCCAGTACAAACTAGTTTCAACTAGACAAAACGGGTTATAACAAAGACATTCAGTATAAACTAGTTTCAACTAGTTAAAACGCGTTCTAACTAAAAACGGGTTTTGACTGTAACATATATATGAAGAAGATTCGGTGAATTGCGCATTCAAAGAAACTATTAACACGCAGATTATTATTTTATATACTTTTAAGAATCTGCTGGAAGTAAATAGTATTTTGTCCATTAGTTTAATGATGAAGTCATGGAATGTATTTTCATTTAAATTTAGAGTACTTAATGACTTTTCCTATACAAGACACCTTAAATTTGTAATGTAGTGATACATTTCAAAATATATTCTCGCCAGTCGTCACTCATCTAATATATTCAAGAAACAAACTTATCAAATAAATATTTAGAACTATTTTTATGTATATTTTGAATAAATTATTCAAAAGTTTATCCCAGATAAATTTAATATTCTATAATACATACAAAAATATAGGCCATCGATAGCTTATATTAATGAAAAAGTATAGCGGTTAGATCACTTTATATGCAATATATTTATTATTATAATTAATATTATTATCTGTAACGTAGCCATACGTCCCGATTTAGGCGGGACATTCTCACGTTTGAGCTTCGTGTCCCGCTGTCTCTTAAATACTTGGCCAAACGTTTTAGGGGGACGACGTCCCTCATAAATATAGATTTTCGTTGCACGCGATTCGTTGACTGGACAACGCTAGTATATTACACATTGACAGCCAATTGAACAATCTGTCAGAAGATGGGATTGCTCTCGCGTGTATTATAGCTATAACTTCTAAGTCAACCAATAGTCCAATACAATACTCCAATATAGTTTCAATGATATCACTGATGCTGCCATCTGCAGTTTCCTCTATTCCGTGGGTCTAACGCACTCACTTAAAGAATTTCCCATGTGAATATTACATGCACAAGCGAAACCCAGCTTATGGTTGCAACGTTGAAGACAATGATTCTGGTGAAGTGTAACTTTGATGCCTTTCCGTATTGGGAACTCGTGCGAGAAACAGTGCGAAACACTCAGCGAAAAATTCACTTATCAATGAAATATTGTGCAACAAATGTGCTTTCAGCAAGGATGCAGTTTCGACCAAATCATCTATTGAGCAGCAGGAAGGTGACGAGTCTTGAACAATTTGAATTTACAATTGTCACAATTCGGATTTTGTAGTTTCTTGGTAGCTTGTATATTCTGAAATGTATCCTACCCCGATGTCCACTGTGCTTATTATAAGCTCGCAAGTAATTGTGTTACTGAATCAATGGAGGTTTAAAAATTAAACAGTTTAATGAAGATGTAAGCGGATGCCGATCGGAAAAGAAAAAATCAGTCCCTCTCCCGAATATCCTGTGTGACCATCTTATTCTTGTTAATTTGCAGGCGGTGTAAATTGTAGTGTACAAAGCAAAACACAGTAAGGCCGTTGAGGAGTGTAGATGGAGTCAAATATACAATGCACGAAATCATGACTTGCAACAAATATGGCTACTTCATTATATATTAGACAATATTATATATTTTTTTAATTACACAAAAATATTCATTGTTATTAGTATTTAATAAAATACAACATACAGTGTTATAAACGTATTATTCAAAAAACTACGAAATTATATTTGATTTAAACTTATTTGTTCGGTTTATGATTCTTTCCTAACGACACGTTATACACAACCTTTTCACTATTAAAACTGAAACTGAACTAACCTTGCTGCACAGAAAATATAAATTTAAGTCAAATTCATAAACAATAAGTACGAACTAAAAGGTAATCCTTAGCAGGATACGATAGGCTAAATCAGTGATGACTAAACTTTTCGACTGGTGGGCCAAATTGCGCACGAGTCGGAGGTAAACAGACCATAAATATTTTGTATCTTCCATTTCTACGTACGAAAAGTAGGCTTATTTTTATCATAACTGATGTGTCAAGTATACTCGCAAGACCTATTTGGTCCGGGTAGCTTAGACACCATTAATTTATATCATTAGCAGATTTTTACATCGTTTTTAGTGAATTTATTAATAAAATTAGTGCAAAACTATAAAATGATACTAATAACTTAATTACTAAATGTGTAATATATAAAATCATAACTGTATATTATATTACCTTTCTTTTTCGGTTTACTTTTACAAAACGGCATGATATTAATCCACCCAAGTCAATCCTGCAAATGAGTAGAATAAAAAAAATATGTATATATATATAGGCATATATATGTAATTTTTTTTATTTAAATATTTGTTTAATAGAAAATTTATCATAATCCAGGAAATACCTGATGTATTTCGACGTTCCGATCGATTAAATTTGATAATGAACACTTCATTACAATTAAATTAATATATTAACCGAAAATTTAATCATTTTAAACAAAGGTTTCCTCACAAAATATCACTGAAAATTTATTAAACAATTCGTAAATAATTAGAATATTGAAATTTATATAAAATAAGAATTTAATAACTTTAAACGTAACTATTCTGTTAAAAATATTATTAAAAAATTTCTAATTTAAAAAATTATACATTTAATAAGGACGCTTAAAGTTCGTCCATTGAGAATTTTTTTTTGTATATTATCTAAGTGAAACGTAATTTTTATTGAAATTCCAATATGTATATGAGCAGAAAATATTTGTAAAATGCGTTACTTACTTGGTCTACCGTGCAAATATCCTGTTTGTAATGAATAAAAATTACTCCTATTAATGTGACAATCGACAGAAATAAATATCCAAGTGTTGTCTTAACCACACAACTATTCCTTTTTGCACTTTGCACAGAAAATAGGTGGTTCAGTAGATAAGTGTTTACTGATAATGATATAATGTCGATACAGACCTATGAATTTTTTTTTCTTTTTTTTAAATATTAGCGAGTCGAGATATATTTTCTGTATTGGCATTTATATTTTTAATTTTATTAAACATATTTTTCAATTTTAAGTATCAGAAACCACATAAAAATTATCAGAAACCTTAACATTTATTGCATTCCAACGGAAACATTTTAGTTTCAATTAAAATTTTATATTACTGACGAATGTCCGTATCTTAAGAATTTTTATTTTAATACGTTAAAAATAAATAAATAAATAATTAAATTTTTAATTGAAATTTTCTAATAAATAAGTATAATTTACCTCCCGTGCTGATGTGTGTTATATTTATTTACGAAGAAAATATTAAGAAAGATTTTATAGTAGATATTTAATCTCTCCCACCATAGTTTTGTGTTTGATTTAAATGGAAAAAATGCTTATTTAATACTTTTATATTACAATTCGGAATAATAATTAATGAAAATTTAATATTGGAATGTAAATAGAAACGAAAATAAATTGAAATTCTTATCGTAGGAAGTACAAACATTGTAATTAGCTCGGCTACTGCCATCAACGTAAATATTTATTATTCAGTGACCGAAAAAACGTTCGACCGGTTACGTAAATAAATCTATGAAATATTTTGTTACGTGTTACTAAAAAATAAGTCACTTTGACATTTTTAATACAGTTTTTTTTTATTTTTAAAAAGTGTATTATAAACAGTAATACGTGATTATGGTTAAAATACAGTTTTCTATTTTTCTTTTTTTTTTTTTTTTAGATTATCAACGACTTTTCCTCATATTTTTCAAACAGTTTCCCAAAGCATGTCTTATATTCCTATTGATTTTGATTTGAAATTACCAGGAATTTAAGGAGATTCGGAATTTAAACCGGTTCTTAAGAATTTCTACATGAAATCCTTAATATTCAATTGGACAGGTTATTATGGATTTCTATAATAGATTTATAATAAGGATTTCATGTAGAAATTCTTAACAACCGTTTTAAATTCTGACAGTGTTATAGATAAACCATTATCGCTCCGTCAACGTCTCGTGCTTTTTCTATAAATCCGTTACTATTATAAAAATTATGTAGAAGAATATACAAGGAAATAAAATATCATTTTCTAGTATATTCTATATAATTTTTTCAACGCCTTCATGCTTCTTTAGGTTTTGCCAAGTTTTCCTGTTATCTTTGAGTTAATGCTGTAACAACCTAACTTTTTGAAGGTTGTTCCGCTTGTTCGTTACTTCATTTTTTCTATACATTTGACTTTTCTTTCTCATCCAGTTTTCTTTTTTATTTCTACACTTGTGGTAATTACATTTTAACTTTCCTCTTCTTCTTTGTTCTAGTATTTTTCCTCGGTAATAAGCTGAGGGAAAATACTAGAACTTTAATCTTTCTTCAGTTATCCGTGATTTTCTCGGATTTACTTCCCTTTTTTCTAGAAACTTGTCTGCTGCTTCTATCGGTCCCTTCTTTATCTTTTTCCAGTTAATTTCATCATTAGTTAATGTTATTGCTTATTCATTCGTTTCCTTTTCTAAATTTACTTCTGTTTGTATATTTTAAAATGTTCTTATATTCCACATCTTTTTCTGTTTACTACATTCTCTTTTCTCTTTTATTGTTTTTATACGACTTTAAATACTTGAATAAGTTTAATATACTAAAAATAAATACAACTTAAAGCCTAAAAAGGAAGGTCGTCTCCGTGAGTATTTGTGTTTTTTAATGAACTGCTGATGGTGTAAACAACGAAAAAATGACTGAAACAAAGAATTATTCTTCGTAAAAAGTTGTATTTATTTTTAGTATATTAATATTAAATAATCGTTGACCATGTAAACTTACTTTTTACTTAACTTGAATAAGTGATCATACAATAGGGGAAATTTAATATATTTCTGCATGTCAATTCAGCAATATTAAAAACTTTTTTGATTTTATAACATTCGCAACTTACTGAAACTATAGAAAATATAATATACATTAGAAGGAACTATTAGGCATTACTTGATATAATGCTTCTCCGTAAATTAAGTCTCTTTCTTTGTATAATTTCAAACATTTCTAAATTGCTAATTAATAAAATTATTTCTGTATTACCACGTCGATTGAATAAAGTCTAAAGTAGTATAAATATTTCTTTTGAATTAATAATTTATTTGTTCACAAGTCACAATTACAACCGTAATATTTTTTTCTGCCACGCCTGCCAATAGCATTTATCAAGGAGAAATATAAATCTGAGAACATATCGTATTATTCACTTAGAAAAAATTTCAAAAGTAAACCGTATTAAGTTAAAATAAAACTTTAGCGAAATTTCAGCAAATAGTTGTAGACGGTCCTAGAACGATTAGATAAGTCATATCTAGAATCACATGAAAAAGTCTGATACGAGTTTGACTCTTGTGTATATAAGACGATGAAGAATAGAAAATTAAGAGTTCAGAGTCAGTAGTTGCTGCTCCATCCAGGAAAATTACTCCGCTAAGGTAAGATTTTCTTTCTTAGATATACAGTAAACCTTATTACCCTTTTATACATTTGTGAATTTAAAGAAATGTTTCTTAAATTCTGCCTTCAATAGAGGATAATTAAATTTCTCTTCGCAGATGAAAGCAATTGTGTTCACTTGTCTTCTCGTCGCCATTACGGCAAAAACACTTCCTTTTAATCCCGATTACGACAAAGATTGGGAAATATTTAAGGTTTTCGATTTCGATTATTAATTAAGCGAAACAATTTTTCCTGCTTACTTCTAAAAAATATATTAACGATATTTATTAATATTGATTACAAGGCAAAATTTAACAAAACTTACGAGAATAACGAAGAACTCGCCAGACGTCTGATTTGGGAAGAAAAGTTGGCAGCAATTACAAAACATAACATTGAATACGATTTAGGATTGCACACGTTTACAACAGGACTCAACCAATTTTCTGATATGGTACTAAATACGGCAATTATGATTAAAAGATTTTATGTAAACTATACAATGCATAAGTAATAACTAATAATTTTCTATTTTTAGACCCACGAAGAGTTCGTACAGAAAATGAATGGACTGAAAAGACCAGTGAATATCACTTCTAAGCCCTTATATACTTTCACGCGCCTGTCTAATGTAATTTTGCCGGACTCAGTTGACTGGAGAAAAGAAGGTTATGTCACGCCAGTCAAAGATCAAGTATAGAAGAATGCGTTATTCAACGATTTTCTATAATAGAATTCATTTAACTACTTTTAAATCGTTTACCTTTTAGGGGCAGTGTGGTTCTTGTTGGGCTTTTTCGGCCACGGGATCTTTAGAAGGGCAACACAAAAAGAAAACTGGTAAACTGGTTTCCTTGAGCGAACAGAATTTGGTAGATTGTTCTGGGAAGGAAGGTGAGGTTATTTTATTGTTGGTAATTTTAATTATATTTCGTTTAAATAAATGACAAAATATTTCCGAAAGCCTTTGAATATGTAAAGTAATAAGTTAAATTATTATTTAATAGATTGATATTCATTTCACCATTGATATTCGTGAATTCTCCATTTTGTGTTAGTCATTGTTAGGGATTCTTACAATGGCTTTATTGTAATTTTAAAGTGAATATAAAATTCACAATAATATACTCAAGGCAAAGCGTATTAAGCCTCGGGATTTGCTATACTCCAATCATAACTTAATATAGATTTTTTAAACAAAAGCATCACGTACGATATTTTATATTAAAATACAAAAGAGAATCATCTTTAATTATTGTTTTACATTATAAATTTAAAGATAATGAAGGTTGCGAAGGAGGACTGATGGATAATGCATTTGAATATGTAAAAGTAAATAAAGGCATCGACACCGAAGATTCTTATCCGTACGAAGCTATGGTGAGAATCTTTTCATAATTATGCTATACTAACCTTATTTTTTCATATTGTTACAGATACTTTTGTTTTACACGATTTGGCACGTTTAAATTGCCATTTTTAATCTTTATGTAATTTTGCAACTCTTGTTCATGTGAGCGAAGGATTGTAGAAATATTGCAAAATTTACAACAAATAGTTCAAGATTTCAACATGTAAAAAAATACTTGTGAAATGACACACGAAATTGTCGAATTACTCGAGAGATTTTAAAAGTTTTCGAAAGGATTATACTGTTATCGGATAACTTTACTAAAAGTTAGCACAATTTATGAGAATGGGATATATATTTTGTTATTAGAGTAGACCTAAATGATTTATCAATTATGACACGGATTACATGATTAATATTTATCATGGCAAATATTAGAATATAGCAGAAATTAATAAACATATTGTAATATTAGAATAAAAATTCCGGAGATTATAATCGAAAAACACAACTTAATTGGTGTTTTAATATGTTTCTTACACAATGCAATAAGGCAGTGATTTTCAAAGTGGGGGTCTCGACCTTCAATGGGTCGTGAAAAATATTTGGGAGGTCGCAGAAAACTGATGACAGATCAATGTTTTCAAATATTTTTTTAAATTTACTATGGATTCATATTTAGAAATAGCAGATTCTTTTTGGCTTAGTGTGAAAGCAGAGTATTCACTACTCTCTGAATTATGAATTAGCAATGGCAACCACTTATTTATGCGAAATGGCATTTTTCAGTAATGATCAACATCAAAACAAAGCAGCGCTGTCGTCTTTGCAACATAGAAATCGCTATGAGACTGCACTGACTGATATCAAACCCAGGTTTAATTTATTGTGTCAAAATAAGCAGGCTCACAGCACATTAAATTTAATTTAAAATATGTTTAACTTAACTAATTGAGTTTACTAATATCGAAACATATACAAAGAAAATTTTGTTCACAGATGTACCAATGATAAGTTATTAATTTTTAATGATACTAAAAAAAATCTGCTATTAAAATTGAATGTTTCAATGCAATTAAACAAAATAAATTAACTCCTTTTGAATTTAAATCAATTCCCTCCTTCGTGATGTTTTTTTACACAAACCCATTTTTCAGGGGTTCTTTGAAATTTTTAAGTGCAAAAGGAGAGTCGTGGACCAAAAACTTTGAGAAACACACTGCAATAAGGTATTGCATAAAATATATTTCGGTTAACTCGTAAAGTGTATCAGGAAATAATTGCATCAGCGTACATAATTAGTGGCAAAAATCATTCTTGCACTTTTCAATACCTTTACACGAACATTTCAGGAACATATTCAGTTCCTAAAAAGAGAATTGTGTGTAATTTTTTTCAATTTCCTTCAGAACGACAAATGCAGATTTAAGCGTTCGTCTATCGGCGCTACTTGTACCGGTTACGTGGATGTTAAAAGTGGTGACGAAGAAGCCTTGAAACAAGCTGTAGCAACCATTGGTCCAATTTCAGTATCTATAGATGCTAGTGCGGACTCTTTCGCTTCTTACAGGTATATAATTTATACATATAATTTTATAATTTTAAACAGAGTATTTTAATTGTCATTTTTGGGATGGGCACTCTCGGCATATCATTCGTATTAATTTATTATAAAATTATTGTATATACATATGTAATTTATTATATCAAATATTTCTTGTTTATTAATTCTACTTCAATTATTTATAACAGCGGTGGTGTTTATTCCTCGTATATATGTAGCTCCACGGATCTAGATCACGGTGTATTGGTAGTTGGATACGGAACAACTAAAGACGGGAAAGATTATTGGTTGGTTAAAAACAGGTAGGAATATACAAATAAAGCAAAATTACTACTTTTAAATTGAAATTTTTCAACACTCAGAAAGTTTGTAAAACTTATTTTTTACTTTTTCCAGCTGGGGTACCAGTTGGGGTCTTAACGGGTATATCATGATGGCTCGGAATTGCAATAATATGTGCGGCATTGCGACTGATCCCTCTTATCCTCTGATGTAAAAAATTATATTGAAGACAATAAGCGAATATTTTTTATCGTTATTTCTTATATGAAAGAATATTTCTAATANCTGTGTACCAAATTTCAACTTTCAACTCCTAACCGTTTGGGCTCGTATCCATAATGTATATAGAAGTTTTAATCCTGTCTCTCTCCCCCCGGGAGGGAATTTCGAAAAATCCCTTCTTAGTGTGCGTTTTCCTGACGTACCCTATCTGTGTACCAAATTTCAACTTTCAACTCCTAACCGTTTGGGCTCTGCACTTATTATTATTATTTTTATCAAACCATTATAACATTCGTTGCAATAGCAAAAGTTTGTCGTCTAACGTAAAAAAAACTTTCAATTGGCATATTATCGCCGTCAATTCCTTTCGTTTCGGATCTTAAGAAGCCAGTTTCCACTGCGTTACGAAGTTGAAATGCTTAAAACGATAAACGATGTTCGATAGAGAAAGTAACAAAACGAAACGATTAGCAGAGAGTGGTTTCGATCCACCGACCTCTGGGTTATGGGCCCAGCACGCTCCCACTGCGCCACTCTGCTACGTGTAGTTCGTCGCTATCAAAGTTTAATATCATCAACGCCCTTTATACCCAACAGACACAAACACACACACACACACACACGTATATACATAGCCACTGAACTTTTTTGCCTTTTATTGATTTTTTGGTTCAAGGACTCACAAAACGTACAGATTTACTGGTACAAAATGTTTTAATCAAATGTGACACGATTCCCGCACTGTACTTTCCATTGCTATGTATTACATAACAGCCGGAAAAGTGAAAGTCACATCACAAAGGCTATTTAATATTCAAAAACGTTTTACTAAATGTGCTAGTATTTTATTCCTGCTTTTTACTAAATCTGTTAGATGTTAATTACTTAGATCTGTTAGATGTATTAAAAATTTCTAAAATTTTGTATTCAAGTTTATGCATTAGAGGGATTGATGCTATTAAACTCTGGTGGTTAAAAGTCGAGGGAATAAGGAGATAAGAGGGATCGTGTGTCATATCTCCAATAGGGTAGGACTTAATAACAATTTTACTCGCTATTAGCGGTTACAAGTTTCCATAAAACTCATCTATAACCTCAAAATTAAGCTTTTTGCCATTTTATAATAATTAGTAAATATAAAAAGTCTTTATAACAAAATCTCGTAACAGATGACGCCACTTACAATTTTATTTATTACAGCATGATTAATAAAATAAAAGTTTATTTTTAAGTAAAATCTCAAAAAGGAAAATTACGCAACTCGTTGCTTAATTTTTTTCATATTAGAATCAAATCAGAGATATAAGAAAACTATAATTTTTTAAAAGTTTAAGTCCATTTTCTGTACGAAAGAGTGATTAAATAAATGCATTCTATGTTCATTTTCAACGCACAAAAATACAGGGTCAGCCGAAAGTCAGTTAAAACTAAAAATTCATTTAAAAATGAAAAAGTGTCGTATTGAAGTATGGTTTTCACCATAAGTTTTCTGAATTTGCGGAATTTTTTTTTTTTTTGACAGGAAACAAATTGTAGTTCGAAAAGTTACTGATAGATGACCTGAAGGAAATCGTAAGTTACGGTGCCTTTAATAAAACAGTGGTGACAATGAGTATTACGTTTTTGATTGGTTGAACTAGTCACATGGGTTCACCTGCCATTAACAGGTTAATCAATCAATTTCCTTAATTGTACTAAGGAGTAATACATAACACGGGGTATCGAAAATTACAGAATTTTATTTAAATTTTTTTATTTACTTCAAACATCACTTGGTGTTTTTCATGTATAACTACTACTTCGAGAAATCAAAGTACAGTAGAGCGTCGTTTATTCGAATTAATTGGCGACAAGGGTTGTTTGTATAACTTATTTTTCGGATAACCGATTGCGTGCGAAAGGATATATTAACCTATCCCATGTTGAAATTTTTCTCCGTTGCGAGTCGCTTTGCGTTGAATTTTCGTCGATGTTAAGCCTAATGTAAACTTTTTAAAACAATAATTGTGGCTATTGTATCCTTAAAAATTATTTCTTTATTTTTTACAAACAAAATAAATATATTGAAAAATATAAAAACAAAAAAAATTATACTTTAGAAGTTAATCTAGTATCAGAAACGTTCGATTCAGCAGGGCACACAGTCCTCAGAAAAACACTACACAAAAGAGCCAGTGCTGCCAGCTAAAACACACACCAACAAAAAAATATTGAAATAGCTTAAGATATAGCCAAAGATTGCAGCGCCACAGCATTAGCGAAAATTTAAATTTGCAGACTGGAATTCTTTCGGATAACTGACGTTTCGGATAATCGACTTTCGGATAAACGACGCTCTACTGTACGTCTACTGGCGGATCGTGCACTCGAAGGGGCCCAAATGCACAATCTAGTTTTGAGGTTCCTTGTTCTAAATACTAAGCAATGCTATCAAATCAATTTATCTATAAGTGAGAATGTTTGTTCGCTAGGCACTCCTAGGCAATTCAACCAATTACTACGAAACTCAGCAGTTCTGTTAATACACTACTAGTTTAGATAACCTCTTCTTTTTCTTTCTTTTAACTCTTTCTCCGCTCTGTGGGCACTAAGAGGGCCTCTTTTACCAAGCACATTATGAATTCGGTCAGTCCCACAATTGGCAGCTGGGTGGTGAAGGACAGAGCCCGACATATCGGGACTGACCAAGTGCATGATACACCCCCTTGTCCCCTCGCTACGCCACTGCCTAAATATGGATCAGTTTTACATAAAAGATCTCGTGGGAGGCGTTTCCCTTTGGTAGGTTGCCCATGTGTCGCATTGCCATAATCGAATTATAACCAATAAACCTAATTACATTTTGATACTGGCACCCTTATTTTATAGTTTGCGGGCGCCGCAGATTATATAAGAGGTACAGTACAAGCTATGAAAAAGTGCATTACACATTATACAAGAAGCTTCAAACTATGATTCAACGACGGATAAATGTTCCCACAAGGTGACACTGNGATGCAATGCGAAACGTCTGTCGGCAGGTTGAACCATCCGGCGGCGCCCGAAAGCCAAGTACTCATAGTCGTGCTCTATTACAGAAGTTGACAGGACTAGAGAAATTAGGGAATCCCCACAGAGCTTCTTCTCAATTTGTACTTGTACGCATTCGAACAGTTCTATCGCGTATCAAATTGCAATTATTTTGTTAATAATTCTTCTGACATGGGTCTAAGTATAATTAATGATATTTTAACTTGGTTAGGATTTAAATCTGAAGCTTAAAGACGATTCGAGTAGCGAAACAGACATTGACGGTATTGATTTGTTTAATGAAATTAATACTTTAAAATTGCGTTTTCCAGAAAACAAGTCTAATGATCCACAAACCTTATTACAATACAGTATCTTTTTACTAATGACTTAATTTAAATATTTTCGAACATAGCAATAGCACTTACATTGCCGGTTTCAGTTGCATTTGGTGAAGGGTCCTTTTCAAAGTTAAAATTATAAAAAAACAATTTAAGATCAACAACGCACCAGCAAAGATTAAGTAATTTAGCTATATTTTCAATTGAACATGAAATCTTAGACTGCTTGGATACATGAAAATTGATAGCAGATTTCACAAACATAAAGGCAAGAGAAGTTCAATTTCTGTAGATAAATATTTATATGGTTTTACACTTAAGTAAATAAAAATAACTTAGTAATAATAAATAGTTCTTTTTGTAAAGTATTTCTTTTCTTTTTTCACACCTTTATGAGACAACACTAAAGAGCCTTTCTGGCAAGCTCAGCGCAGGTAGTCGTAGTTAAAC